GGGGAAGGATAGTCAGAAATATTGGCACATCCCCAGTGGGGGGGGGGGGGGTGCAAGAGGCAGCTGATCAATGATTCTCTCTCTCGGTGTTTCTAACTCTCTATCCCTTTCCCTTCCTCTCTGTAAAAAATCAATAAAATAAAATAAAATAAAATAATAAAAGAATAAAGTCAGGCCCTGACCAGTTTGGCTGCCTCCTGCACACCTCCCACTGGGGATGTGCCCATAACCAAGGTATATGCCCTTGACGAGAATCGAACCTGAGACCTTTCAGTCCACAGGCCGACGCTCTATCCACTGAGCCAAACCGGTTAGGGCTCTAGTTCTTTTTTATTCTAGATCTTATGACCTCTACCATTCACTGGTTCTAGATTACACAACCTCTAGACCTTGCAAGTTCCAGGACCCTCTGATTCTAGATATGATTATCTCCCTTGTCTCTGGTTCTAGAACTTGGCCTCAAACATATCTGATTCCAGACCTCATACTATAAAAAATCCCTTGGTCCTAGACCAGTGGTCGGCAAACTCATTAGTCAAAAGAGCCAAATATCAACAGTACAACGATTAAGATTTCTTTCGAGAGCCAAATTTTTTAAACTTAAACTTCTTCTAGCACCACTTCTTCAAAATAGACTTGTACAGGCCGTGGTATTTTGTGGAAGAGCCACACTCAAGGGGCCAAAGAGCTGCATGTGGCTCACGAGCCACGGTTTGCCAACCACTGTCCTAGACAGTCTCTAATTTCCTCTCACTCCAGATCTTATTATTCCAAATTACCCTGAGTTTAGAACCCAGACTTCAAACATCTTCTGACTATAGAACTTGCCTTATAAATTTCTCTGATTCTAGACCTTACAACTCCCAACTCTTGATTCTAGATCATATGGCTCCAAAACCCCTATAGAACTTGGTCTTCAGGCTTTCTCTAATTCTAGTCCTTACACTATGAGTATACATTCTTCTGGTGCTAGGTCTCACAGCTGCCAGCTGCCTGATTTCAGACCCAAATTCTGTTGATAGAACTCAGCCTCCAAATGCTTATGATTCTAGAATCTGAACCTAACCCTATAGATTTCTCTAGTTCCGAATCTTACAATTCTTGCCTCCCCGATTCCAAACTCCAACCACCTAACTTTATTTTGGTCTTCTCACTCCACTCAACTTGCCCCATTCCTACTCTCTTTCTTGTTTTTAATCCTCACCTGAGGATATTTTTCCCCATGGCTTTTCAGAGAGAGTGGAAGGGCGGGAGGAGAGGGGAGAAAAAGGGAAAGAGAATCAATGTGAGAGAGACACAATGACTGGTTACCTCCTGCACGTGCCCTGACCAGGGAGCAGGGAGCAAACCTGCATCCCAAGTAACTTGCCTTTGACCAGGAATCAAACCGAACCCCAGCCTGGATGGTGTGGCTCACTGGTTGAGTGTCAATCTATAAACTAGATCGCAGTTCAGTTCCCTATCAGGGCACATGCCCAGGTTTTGGGCTCGATCCCCAGTGTGGGGTGTGCAGGAGGCAACCCATCAAGGATTCTCTCTCATCATTGATGTTTCTCTCTTTCTCCCTCTCCCTTCCACTCTGAAATCAATTATAATAATAAAAGCACACTAACCTTATTAGGCTGGAGGTCCTTCCCAAGAAGGCCAGGGCTGCAAGGGAAACCCAGGTCCCGGGTGCCAGAGGGAAGCCAGGGCCAGCAGCCTGGGGAGACCTACTCTTTCACAAATTTTATGCCCTAGGCCTCTCGGATATGATTTGTTTAAAAAAAAACAAACAAAAAAAAAAAACAGAACCCCTTAGGTGCCTGGCTGATGCCCTTACCACTGAGCCATCAGTTAGAACCCTACTCTCTTAAGTCTTCTCACTTCAAGATCCCTATCCTCCAGGTTTCTCTTCTTGTGGACTTCATGCTTAGACCTTTCCATTCTCAATCTTATATCCTTAACTTTTCTCCACTCCCCACCTCAGCCCTCCAGATAATGCATTTACATTTATTTTACCCCAGGAACGTGGGGAACCTAGGACACCCTCACCCTCTTTGGGGGGTTCACAATCCAGACCTCCCCAGCTGCCCAGGCACACGCACAGCCTTATCCACGTATCTAGAGGTGGGGAGAGAGACTAAGACTCCTCAGTTCTCTGCCACTACTCGTGTATCCCTAGATCCCCTTGTATTATACAATGGTGCTACTCTTGGTCTTCCACAGGAAAAGGCCTTCCTCCCTCAGCCCAATTCAACCCCCTGTCTGAAGGGCACTTTTCACTTTGTTTTTCAGGGAATTGCCTGTCCAGATTGGTGCTATAGGGGGAGAAGAGTCTCCCCCGCCCCTCCCTCCCACAGGGCCCTCCATAAATAAAACTGTGCTAGACTGGGGGACGGGAAGGGACTGGGCCAGCCACACTGGCTCTGAACCCCACTGATCTCTGTACCGCCATAAAGACCTCGCCTTGGTAGGCACCGGAACTCTGTGTGGGCTCATCTGTGGAGTTTCCTTTAGGGGGTGTGGTTGTCCTGAGTGACAGGTGTCCACAACACTTTGTGATTTTTGTATACACAAATGTGACTCTGTTCCTATGTGGGTCTATGTAACGTGTCTGGTGATGTTGTCATACCATATATGTGTCTTTGTGACATAATTCCATGAACCTGTGTGAGGAGGACATTGTAATGCCTTTTACATGTATGTGTTAGTATGAGTGAAATACTTTTGTATGAAATACTTTGCCTAATGTATTTCTAGTTACTTCGGGCTTCTGTGTTTCTGAGTGTGTCTTGTGATTTGTTTGGTTTTTATTTATTTTTTTGGTTTGTGTTGGTAATATTCTGTGTACATGCATAGAACTGTTTGACACTATAATTCTATGCACTGATGTCTGTCTGATATGATTTTCTGTACGTGTGTGTGTGATTGCATTTCTGTAGATTCACGTGCAGATGGCTGTGCCTCTTCTGACATGTCTCTGTGTATCACCCTCATAATCCCTTTCCGGCATTCCACATAGGAATATTTTATTTTTAAAAAAAAATTTTAAAAATATATTTTATTGATTTTGTACAGAGAGAAAGGGAGAGAGATACAGAGTTAGAAACATCGATGAAGGAGAGTCATCTATCAGCTGCCTCTTGCACACCCCCTACTGGGGATATGCCCGCAATGAAGGTACGTGCCCTTGACCAGAATCGAACCCGGGACCCCTCAATCCCCAAGCCGACGCTCTATCCATTGAGCCAAACCGGTTTTGTCCCACAAGACTTGGCATTTGCTGCTCCCTCTGCCCTAAATAGCTTTCACTCTGCCCCTCTCTTCCCTTGTTCATCTCCTCATACTTCAGATGCAAGCTCAGATATCCCCTCCTGCAGAAAGCCTTCCTGCTTGTCCCAGCGGGGCGAGATCCCCCCACAGCCTCCAGGGTCCCGGTCCCCATCACAGCTCAAAGCACTCTGTCCACTCGGAATGTTTACAATGGAGTGAATGTAAAAAGCTCTGACTCTGTGTCAGGCCCCCTGCCAAACATGACTCACACGATGACTCTCCTCTAAACCTACACAATAGGCATGATTATCTCCACTTTACAGAGGATGAAACAGGTTTAGAGAAGGTGATCCTTTTGCCCAAGGTCATAGAGCTGGGAAGGGCTGAGCTGAACTTGAATCCAGAATTTATATCCATCATGGCAGCCTACCCACACAGACACCAAGAGATTCTCAAAACCTGTTCTGGCTGGTGGTATAAGCGGTTAGAGCATCAGTCCACACATCGAAGGGTTGTGGGTTCGATTCCCTGTCAAGTGTAGGTACCTGGTTTGCTAGTTTGCTCCCCACCCCGGGTCAGGGCCCATGCAGAAGGCAGCCATGTGTCTCACATGGATGTTTCTCTCTCCCTCTACCTTCCTTCCACTCTCTTCTCTGAAAAGCAATAGAAAAAATATCCTCCTGTGAAGACTAATAAAACACAACAAAATGTATCCCACAAAGTGGGGGCTCTGGAGCAGCACAGCAGGAATTCAGAGCCCAGTTATCAGGTGGGACAGGTCCAAGTCCTGGCTCTGCCACTTTTTGTTGTTGTATGATCTTGGGTAAGTGCACTGACCTCTGCAAATCTGTGTCCTCACTTGTAAAATGGAGAGGATACTAGTATCTTCTGGGGCGATCTTTAACTGATTCGGGGTGGGGAGTCAGTCAGCCACAATTAGATGTGGGGATGGGATACCGTGCGCCTCTGGGAGGGAGCCAGGGCCGCGCCCTATAGGATTCAACTACGGTTTGGCACGGGGAGCGGTCGAGGGCGGAAAGGATGGTCTGGAAGTGTGGACCATGTATGCGGATGGCGTCTGGACATGTTGCATGCGGTTAGACTCTACAAGGCCTCTTAGGCCAACAGAAAGTCCTCAAATTTCCTCCTAGAGGAATAAGGACCTACGGGAGGGAGTGCGATGAGAAAGAAGGGAGACAGAGGGGGCCTTCGGTTAATAACTTAGGTTTTAGGACTATTGACCCTCGGGGTTGGAACTTCAGTCTGAGAAACCACCCATTTTTCAGAGAGGGGGGGAACAAGCCCCAGATAGGAGAGGAGCCGGTGTTCAAGGTCACGGAGGTAACTGACCGCGGGGCTGGACTCCCGGCTCGGGTTCCGCGTTGGGCTCGGCGCAGCCCGGCCTGACCCTCCGACCCCGGGAGACGGCGGACAAACCCGCTTCCCGCCCCCCGGGTCTTCCGTCTCGAAACGTGTGTGTGGGGGTGGCCTCTTCCCCCCGCGCGCCCCCTTCCCCCTTCCCCTGTGGCTTAGTCTAGGAAGGGCGACGCCGGAGGACCCCGTGGTCACCATGCCCTCCGCGCGCTCCGCGGCGAGAGAGACCTGCGCAGGCGCGCCAAGGGGGCCTTCGGGCCCGCGCTTTACGACACTTGTGCGGCAGCGGCGGCTGGAACCCGGCACTCCTTCGCGACGCTCAGGCCGGGCGCCGCTAGCGGCTGTTGCCAGGGCGGGGGTCGCTTTGCGGCATGGCGATGGCGGAGGGCGAGCGGGCTGAGTGTCCTGAGCCCCCACAAGACGAACCGCCGGCTGATGGCTCCCTGAAGCGGGCGGAGGAGCTCAAGACGCAGGCCAACGACTACTTCAAAGGTGCGCCCGCCCTGGGGGCGGCGGAGGGGGGAGGGGGTGGGGAGCTGCCCAGGTCGAGGGGCGCCGGGGCCCCGCGCGCGGAACCATGGCAACGCGGCGCGGCAGCCGGCGCCCGCCCGGGCCCGGCACTGCCCGGGGACCCGGCGCGGAGGGCCTCTGCCGGGGGCGACAGAGGGAGCTGCTGAGGGAAAAGGTGATGATACGCCTGAAAGTGGCGGGCGGAGCGGATGCTGCTCACTATGGAGACTGAGGGGGGCGCCACCAAGTGTGGGGCGGGAGGCGGGGGGAGGGGAACGAGGGTTCCACCACATGGGAGACCCCTCCCCCCCGCCCCCCGAGAGCTGCTAGGCTGTGGCGACACCTGCAGAGGACGCTGTCACGTTGTGACGCGGGGCGGCGGGGTTAGGGATGGCGCTACCCAGTGGGGAGACCTGGGGTGGGTGGCTCCGTGCGGGGGCTCGCGGGGGGGGGGGGTGGGGGGTACAGTCTCAGTAGAGAACCATGGGGGTGAGGAATAGAGATCATTAGAATGGAGGGGCAAGGCAGTAGGAGGTGTGGGGAGGCCCTGGGAGGAGAGGTGGGGGAATCCCAAGGAGAGTATGGGTGACAGGATCTGGAGAAAGAGAGAAAGATAGTGGGCGCCCTCATGCATTCATTCACTCATTCACTCATTCAGCATGTTTGTGGGACACCTGCTGTGTGCTCAGCACCGTGCTAGATTCTGGGGAGGTAGCCCTGCCCCTCTGCAGCTTGGATTTAGCAGGAGCATCAAGCAATGAGTTACTGCACAGATGAACAAAATACTTAGAAGTTGTGATGTGTGCTTTGAGGGGGGAAGAGGGGGGGGGGTCCAGTGTGAAGAAGATGAGGAGGGTTGAGGGGCTGGAGGCTGCATGTTAAGGTGGTCCCGGGAGGACTCACTGAGAAGGCATTGAAGTTGCGTGGAACCGGGGAGGGAGTGCTCCTGGTGGGCGGAGGTAGGAAAGGAGAGGCGACTGGTGCCCCTGGACCTTGAGCACCTTGGTGGGGAGACTGACACAGGTGCGGTGAGGACAGGGGCCAGGTCATGTAGGTTTCGTGAGTCATTGCAAAGACTGATTTGGATTTTTTTTAAAAAAAAATATATATATATATATATATATTTTATTGATTTTTTTTTTTTTTTTTTTTTTTTTACAGAGAGGAAGGGAGAGGGAGAGAGAGTTAGAAACATCGATGAGAGAGAAACATGGATCAGCTGCCTCCTGCACACCCCCTACTGGGGATGTGCCCACACCCAAGGTACATGGCCTTGACCGGAATTGAACCTGGGGGGGGGGGCGGTCCCTTCAGTCCTCAGGTTGATGCTCTATCCACTGAGCCAGACCAGCTAGGGGTGGTTTGGATTGTGCTCAGCCATCCAAGAGGAGACTTTGAGTCCGTGGATAGGCCAGCGTGGAGCTCCTAGGAGAGGATCCGCCTAGGGATAGAACAGCACACGTTGGGAATGGAGGAGGTTAGCCAGGACGAGAAGGGGCCAAAGACGGAACCTTGAGGAATTCTCATGTCCAGAACAGAAGAGGAAAAGGCAGAGGAGGGGTGGTCGGTGGGGGAAAGTGTCAGGGAAGATGAGAAGGCAGAGTGCTTCCAGGAGGAGGGGCTGTGCCCAGGTGAGCACAGAGCACCGACCACTGGGCTTGGCTCCAGGGATGTTGATGGCAGCCTTGACCAGAGCAGGCTCTGGGGAAGGATGGGGATGGTGGCCACTAGGAGGACCCTGAAGGTGGAACGGGAGGTGTGGAAGTGGAGACAGCAAATGTGGACAGCGTTTGAGGGTTTTGGTTCTTAAGGGGAGTGGATAGTGGAGGAGGGAGCTGAAGGATGGAAGAGAGTAGACTCTGGTGCATGTGAGAGCGAATTGATCCTATAGGAGAGAGGGGAGAATTGATCCTATTGGGGAGAGGGGAGAATTGACCCTATAGGGGAGAGGGGAGAATTGATCCTATAGGAGAGAGGGGAGAATTGATCCTATAAGGGAGGGGGAGAATTGATCCTATTGGGGAGAGGGGAGAATTGACCCTATAGGGGAGAGGGGAGAATTGATCCTATAGGAGAGAGGGGAGAATTGATCCTATAGGAGAGGGGGGAGAATTGATCCTATAGGAGAGGGGGGAGAATTGATCCTATAGGGGAGGGGGAGAATTGACCCTATAGGGGAGGGGGGAGAATTGACCCTATAGGGGAGAGGAGGGAGAATTGATCCTATAGGAGAGGGGGGAGAATTGATCCTATAGGAGAGGGGGGAGAATTGATCCTATTGGAGAGAGGGGAGAATTGATCCTATAGGAGAGGGGGGAGAATTGATCCTATAGGAGAGAGGGGAGAATTGATCCTATTGGAGAGAGGAGAGAATTGATCCTATAGGAGAGGGGGGAGAATTGATCCTATTGGAGAGAGGGGAGAATTGATCCTATAGGAGAGGGGGGAGAATTGATCCTATAGGAAAGAGGAGGGAGAATTGATCCTATAGGAGAGAGGGGAGAATTGATCCTATTGGAGAGAGGGGAGAATTGATCCTATAGGAGAGGGGGGAGAATTGATCCTATAGGAGAGAGGGGAGAATTGATCCTATTGGAGAGAGGAGAGAATTGATCCTATAGGAGAGGGGGGAGAATTGATCCTATAGGAGAAAGGGAAGAATTGCAGCAACAAAGACCTGGGGCAGGGGGTGGGGAGTGGAATGAAGCAGAGCCCTTGGGAGAATTGGCCTTCAGGGGAGCACAGACAGATTCAGAGTGGGGAAGTGTGATGGGCTGAGGGAGGAGGTGGGACTGGTGAGAGCTGAGGAGGGGGAGCCCTGAAGCCCGGGTCAGGGAGAATGGGTGGCATCCTGAGGGGGGGGGAGCCATGGAAGGTTCTAGGAGAGGAGCAGCGTGGTCTGGTTTGTATTTGGAAAAGCTCCCCCAGCTGCCTTGTGAAGCTTGGACACAAGGGTCAGCCTGGAGACCTTAACTGTGGCCAGGCGAAAGGCGGTGGAGCTGCCGACCAGGCTGGAGAGACGGGAACTAACCCTAGAAACGTTTCAGAGTGGCTGCCTGGAGGGAGGGAAGAGGGAACTCCGGGCAGAGAACCGATGGCCAAGGCCTGGCACTGAGGCAGGAAGTGGGGCCGGAGTGTGAGAGGCGGGAGGTGAGGCTGCAGGGAGGAACCCAGCTTTCTGCCCAGGACTCGGGGAGCTATGGCTCGTTCTGAGCAGGGAGGGGGCACGGTCAGGATTGTGCTTTGAAAACCCCTCTGGAGGGCAGGACTGCGGGGGCGGGGCCCGGGGCCGGAGGGGATGGAAGCCAGAAATGAATAGGTTAGAGTTTGACAGCATGGTGAGGGCCTGGCTGCAGGGGCTGGGGGGTCGGGAGGTGTCCGGGACAGAGCCCCATCTGCAGCTGGGGGATGGCATGGAAGGTGGCGTTACCCCTGACATGGGGCTTGGAAGGAGCAGCATGTATGGGGGTTGATGCTGAGGCAAAGTAAGAATTCCGGAAAATTGTGAACAATTGGGAGGCGCCCCTCGCCCCTCCGGGCCTGGGGCCTGGGACCTGGGCGGGCAGGCAGAGGTCCCGGCGGTGAGCTGGCATGGAGGACGCCCTCCTGGGCCAGGCCCTTCTCTGCAGGGCAGGCGGCAGCAGGCACAGGGCCCTGGCCTCTGGGACGACAATAAAAAGAGTAATTACAGCTCCCCTAATTGAGCCCCTGTGGTGGCCAGGTACACGCTTTGTGTAATCCTCTCTGGAGCCCCGGGGCAGCAGGTAGGAGCGGCCCCGCCTGTTTTATAGAGGAAGCTGAGGCTCAGAAGTGAAACCACGTGCCAAGGTCTGAGTGTGTGAGCAGCAGCGGAGCCCGGATATCCTCCTTCCTCGCCGAATGCTGGGCTCCCACAGGCTTTCCCCCTGGCCGCCTGGCCCCCTGCGGGGTGGAGAGGGGTGCCCATGCCCACCTCTCCCCCAGCGAGGCTGGCTCCTCTGGCAGAGCCCTGTCCCTGATGTCTCAGCTCCCTTCCCCTCTCCTTGGGCCCATCAGCCCCCAAATCTTACATCTTCCTCTTCCCTGCTGTGTGACCAAACACAGCCTCTCTGTGCCCGTCTCCTTCCTGTCTCCTTCCTCGGCTCTACCCCGGGACTGTCTTGATTAAATGCACTCAGATTAAACGCACAGACAGGCCCGGGACGCGGTGGTGCCTTGGGGCAGCTGTGTGCAGTAGCGGCCCCTCCCGTGTCCTCTGCCCCATCCTCCTTCCCTTCGTTCAGTCATTCACTTGCTTCTTTCTCAAGTATCTGCTGTGGCCACATTTCACACGTGAGTTCATTTAGCCAACTACCCCAGGAGCAGGGCTGTTGGTGAACAGGGTTGTTTCAGATCATCAAGCTGGGGCTCGGAGAGGAGAGGCCCTTTGCCCGAGGTCTCATGGCTGGGTCCGCAGAGCTGGGTGCCAGATGCTCAGACACCAGGCTTCTGCCCCGTGCCAGATGGCCGTTCAGTAACACCTCGCCCGGCAGGAGGGCTGGCCGGCCAGCCTCTGGAACCCCGCCAGGGAGCCGGAAGAAGTCTTGGAGGCACTGGCATTCCAGGGAGGGTAGGTTCTGCCCTTGCTTGTTTCGGGGAAGTCCTGGGCCTGCCCACCAGGGCTAACAGTCCTGGGGGGACACATTCCTCACTTACAGGGACAATCCAGAGTGGGGTGTGCAGGGCTGGGGTAGGTGAGCCTGGAGGGCTGCCTGACCCAGCCTGGGGGTCAAGGCGGGCTTCCTGAGGGAGGGAACATCAAGCATTAAAAGACTGCAAGATGTTAGCCTGCAAAAGGAATCGCTGTTATATTGTTCCTGGCCATCTCCCTAGGACTGATTTCTTTTTTCTCCAGTGTTGGTTATTGGGTTAGTTTGTCTCCCGCCCTCCCACCCTTCCAGAACAATCCATGGAGTTTGGAACCCTATTCCATTCTATTTCTTTACCCGGCTCACTCTCACCCTACAGGTCTCAGCTCGATATCCCCTCTGGCTCCCCAGCCCTCAGCCCCTCTCGATCACATTATGGGGATGGATCTGTGTATTGTCCCCATCCCAGTCCCCACTGGACTGTGAGCCCAGGGGAGGCAGGACTGAGGGGTGCTGTGTATTAGACAGGGCAAGGACTCAAAAAGAAGTAAGACAAACAAGGCCCGTGCCCTCATGGGGCTTAACTTGAAATTGGGGAGATGGATTATAAGCAAACAACAAACAAGCCAGGACTGGTTTGGCTCAGTGGATAGAGCGTCGGCTTGGGGACTGAAAGGTCCCGGGTTCGATTCCGGTCAAGGGCATGTACCTGAGTTGCGGGCACATCCCCAGTAGGGGGTGTGCAAGAGGCAGCTGATCAATGATTCTCTCTCATCGATGTTTCTAACTATCTATCCCCCTCTCTTCCTCTCTGTGAAAAATCAATAAAATATATTTTTTTTAAAAAACAAAAAACAACAAACAAAAATCCACTGGTTTATCAGATGACTGGGGAGAAAGTGAAGTGGGAGTTAGGGCAGGAATTTCCATTGTAAGCCAGGTATTAAGAGGGCGCTCTCAAGGTGTCCGAGGATACTCAGCTAATAGGAGTCAGAGCCAGGGATGGGGCCTAGGCCACCTACCTGCCCCTGTACCTGTTCCTGACCCTGTGCCAGCTCCCCCAGAGGCTTCCGGGTGTGGAGGGGAGGGGGGGGCATTTGGGTCTTGGCCTGGCTCAGAACCCCCGCCTGCCATTTGTGGTGTCACCTCGATGATGGGCTCTGCCTCAGTGAGCCTCAGTCCCCTCACCTGGAAAATGGAGCTGATGCAGTTGTCCTCAGGATTGTTATGAGGGTTCAGTGAAGGGACTCCGGTCCCAAGAGCCCTGTGTGGCCCGTAGTTCTGACAGGCCTTGGCCTTCTGCCTGTCCAAAGGCCTCAAGGGAGGGGTTTGAGCCTGGCTTTGGTAATATTAATACAGACTGGCTGTTTGACCTTGAAAAAGACCTAATGACTCATCCGTAAAGGGAGCAGCAGATGGTGCTTATGCCATGGAGATGTGAGGATTCCACAGGTCGAGATGTGCAGGGCACAACCATAGCTCATTTTATCTTATTTATTTTTAAATATATTTTATTGATTTTTTACAGAGAGGAAGGGAGAGGGAGAGAGAGTTAGAAACATGGGTGAGAGAGAAACATAAACCAGCTGCCTCCTGCACACACCCCACCGGGGACGCGCCTGCAACCAAGGTACACGCCCCTGACCGGAATCGAACCCGGGACCTTTCAGTCCGCAGGCTGACGCTCTATCCACTGAGCCAAACCAGTTAGGGCAATGATAGCTCATTTTAAATAAAGTTGATCTTTTCCCTTGGCCAGGTCGCATCCTCTTGGCCCATACCTGGAACGCCAATGTCCAGATCCCACTGTGGCCATGGCCTTCAGGATCTGTCCTGCCAGCCCCATGCCCTCATCTGCACCCTGGCCCAGCTCACTGCCCCAGCCTCAGCAGCCTCTCACTCCCACCCCACCCTCCGGGGCCTCTGTACCCGCTGTCCCTTTTGCAGGAATGCTCTTCTCCAGTCTGGTGTGCCCCTTTCTTGGGTCTTGGCTGATCTGTCCCCTTCTTACTGAGGACCAAGTGGTTTCCTTCTTCCCCACTTCGTGTTCTAGGCCCTCTTTGGGCTTGTGTCCTTGCTTTGAGGGGCGGACAGTCGAGGGGCTCAGGGCATAGTCACGTTTGCTGCTTTATATCTCAGGAGCATGTCCTCCCTGGGCCATGGGGCGGTGGGGGGGAAGGGGGGAGAGGGGCGTGGATTCAGTGAGACCCTCCTGAGGTCCTGGAAGAAGGGCCACGTGGCCTGGAAATAAATGACCTTGGTCCTGAAGATTGGGTCATGAGGAGACGAGGTGTGGGACAGGAAAGGGGGGCTGGCGGAAGAGACATCGCTGAGCTCAGCTCTGGACTTCGGCTTCCCCCTCTGAATGGGGGGACTGGGCCAGTCCCCACCTTAGGACCTGCTCTTGCTCGTGGTGGGGGAGGGCAGTGGCCCTGCTTCATGCCTCCTCCTCCTCCTCTGTCTCCCCAGCCAAGGACTACGAGAACGCGATCAAGTTCTACAGCCAGGCCATCGAGCTGAACCCCAGCAATGCCATCTACTATGGCAACCGCAGCCTGGCCTACCTGCGCACCGAGTGCTACGGCTACGCCCTGGCCGACGCCACGCGGGCCATCGAGATGGACAAGAAGTACATCAAGGGCTACTACCGCCGGGCCGCCAGCAACATGGCGCTGGGCAAGTTCAGAGCCGCCCTGCGCGACTACGAGACGGTGAGCCGGGCCTCTGGGAGCAGGCCAGCCCCTGAGCCAGGTGGATGCCGAGGGCCGGCCGGCGGGCGGGCAGGGGGAGGTGTGCGCTGTGTGTGCCCGGAGGGGAGGGAGAGGGCTGTGCACCAGTTACTCAGCACCTACTCATCCACCAATGCAGAGGCCCTTGTCCCCGAGCCACTGCCTTGGTCATATCCCGGCTCTGCCGTCACTGGGTTACCTGGGCCAGCTGCCCGGCCCCTGGGCCGCCTCCTCCATGTCTGTGACATGGGAGCGCAGCAGCCCTACCTCGGGGGGTTGCCATGGAGAGTGAATGAGCTTCTGCTTCCCGAGTGTTTCGAACACGGTCAGTGTTCTGGGACAGGTGCTGTCGTGGTGATTGTCCTCTCTGCGGAGTGAGGGCCACAGCCTTTCCTCAGTGGAGCTGGCGGTTCAGAGGAGAGCATGTGAACAGGATCCGTGCAGCCGAGGACACGTGCAGGGGGAGCTAGAGTGGGGTGACGTGCCCCAGAGGAAAAGCAAGTGGGGGGGGGGTTGTGATGAGGGACCGGACCCCCTCAGTCACCTGCCGCTCCCGCTGTCATTGCTCTGATGACAGTAATACTGAGAGCTGGAAGGACCCAGAGTGCCAGGCTCCTTCTGCAGCTTTCACATCGGTTGGCCGAAGGAATGTGGCTCTGTGAGGTGGCGACAGTGGTTACCCATAGTACAGATGAGGCCCTGGGGGGTAAGGCACCTGCCCCCCAGCATGCAGCTGGTGGAAGGATCGCAGAGCTGGGATTTGAACCCAGGTAGCCCGGCCTGTCCCCCCGCCTCAGAGAGTTAGCTTCCTGAGAGTCGGGGTTCATTTGTTGTTCATTGGGATGGTGCATCCTGCAGTGGCTCAGTTAGTATTTGTGGATTCTTACTCTGCCCTCAGTATACACGCATTCTCCTTCATTTCCCTCCTGCACACACTGAGCAGCTTCTGCTGTGTAGGGGGGCGGCCAGGGGGCTGGGGGCATAGGCCACAGTGGGAGGGATCCTGTCGGACTGCCCGGCCTGGCTGCTGGCCGCTGGCCTCGGTGGAGGGTGCATTTCAGGCCCAGTGAAAGCTGAACCACGCGTCGAGCCAGAGGACACTGTCAGGGTGGGGGCAGAGGTGTGCAGGGAGCAGGTGGTTTAGAAACAGGGACAGAATGGAGGAGGATGCTGGGTGACACCCCACAGGATGAGGAAAGGACCAGCAGAACAGAGTCCTTGTTAGCTTGGGCTCCCAAGCCATTCCTCAGGCAGTCCTCCCCTGTCCCTGGTGTCCTCCCTCATCGGGAAGGGTACAGGAGTGGCTGTGGGCTCAGTGATGTGGAGTGAGTAAAGGTCATTGGGGCTGGGGGGCTCAGTAATGAAAAACCCAGGCCAGTGGGGTTGGATGGGGGAAGGGTTTGGGAGGGTCAGGGTGGGGAGTCCTAGAGTGGGAGCTGGGCCTGGACGGGGTGTTTGAAAGAGATCTGACCACAGGGTTCCTCTCATGGCTCTGGCCCCGACTGCGCCCTGGCCTCGCCTTCTCCGTGACACAGATGGTTTCGGGCCAGCCGTCCCGTGTGTACCACGTCTGAACTTGGTCCCCGGCCTTGTGGGTGTCGTGGTGGGGGAGGTTTCACAGTCTTTCTCAAATCAACTTGAGGTGGGGCCGCACCAGCCTTATTGTGGGGGCTCTGCCTGCAGCATCGGAGAGTCCCCACAGGAGCCTGAGAGCCTTCCGGCCCGGGCCCGGGCCTGGGCCACCTTTGGCCAGCCACCCTCACACCCGCAGGCTGGGCACCCTTCTCCATTCAACCTCTGGGTGCAGGCAGAGGGGCCAGACCCTGGGGCTGCTCCCCCTCCAATCTCTCCCTTCTACCCTCCAGAGCTGTCTTTTGACACGTGGCTCATGGAGGGTGTGCCAGGCCCCCTCTCAGGTCTGGGCATCTTTGTGGGTGGGGCCAAGCTGTGACCTTGGTTGAACAAACAAGCCCGAGGTTCTGCCTCAGCAGCTCGGCCCTCTGGTGAAGGGCCTTTCCTTTCGCAGCCTCAGTTTCCCCATCTGCATCCGCGTGCTCACCGTGGGCCCAGCTCTGTGCGAGCTCTGCGTGCGTGAGTTCCGTTTAGTTTACAGGAAGGAAGCGGGTCTAGAGAGGGGGCGCCCCTTCTCCAAGCTCACCCAGCAGGGAAGTGGCAGAGCTGGGACGTGAACCCAGAGCCTGTGCTGGTAACTGTTCGAGGCTGTGAAGAGAGTGTCATAGTTTGAGACCATTTCATCAAATATGATCAAGAAGAAGAAAGGTCAATATTTGGAGAAGGTTGTGTATATATGGTTCTGTGAAAAAATGTTCATGTATGTGCATTTACATGTGTGTTAGGTGTGACATAAAATACGTATTTCTTACTGTGAGCCGGAGCCTGCAGGCATTGGCGCAGCTGAGGCACCAGCCCCCCGGCCGGGATGCCCAGCTCGGACTGCGCAGCTCTGAGGGCTCGTCTCCAGCACCAGTGTTCCTCTGTTACGCCAGGAAGGGGGGGGGGCATGGGCCGCTTCAGTGACCGTGTGAGGATTAGAGAAGATCGGTCCATCAGAGTAGGATCTGCCCCACTTAGCACTTGGTGTTGGGAGGCCCATGGGAAGCGCTGTGTGAGGGGCCTGGGAGCTGGCAGTGTCTCCATTCTAAGGCCTCAGGTACCCAGCTCCCTCTCCATGGGCCCATGAGGAACCCTCCAGCCCGCCTCCCTCATCTCCAAGTTCATCCTCCCACAGGGACCCTTGCTTCAGGATGCCCTGCCCTTCACTGGTCCTCTTCCTGGTTCTTTCCTGTCTGCCGGGGAGCTCAGCTGGTCACCTGGGCCAGGCTGGGTCTGGGGGATCCTCCGCACGCCTTCCTCGCCCCTTTCTGGGATTGGTTGGGTTGGGTTTGAATATGGTTTGCATTCGGGTTCTTACAGTGGAGCCTGCGCAGTCAGGTAAACGTGTGTCTGCCTTACAAGCCCACGCAGGCCTGTGCTAAGGTGAGGACATGTGATATCACAGGGCTAGTCAGAGTAAAACCCAGGGCAGTGTTCACCACGGTTGGGACCTTAATGCCCTAAGATAACTCCCGTGATCTTCTTAGCAACCCTGTGCTTTGGGCCTGTTGTCCTGACTTACAGTGCGGAAGCTGAGACCGAGAGAGGTCACTCCCCCGTGACACCCCAGCAGAAGCTGATGGTCTGCTTCCAGAGTCAGGTTCCTGACCACGGGGTGTTGGCCGTGGGCACCAGTTTCCTGGCCCAGTGCTTGCCCTCAGCTCAGGCAGTGTACTCAAGGGCCGGCTCCTCTCCCCTCCCCTCTCCTTCTCTCCCCTCCCCTCCCCTCCCCAGAGGAGTGCTGGCTGAATGAATTCACTATAGGGTCTCCACCTATGGGCTGAGAACCCTGTGTCACACTGAAGTGAGTGTCTGCCCAAGAAACCTGGCTTCCCTCGGGCTTGGGCGGTACCAGTTATCTTGTCATTACCTGTTCTCTTGTCATTATAGATAATCATAATGTTGTCAATAGGTCCCGGAGGGCTGGAGCACTTGCCTTGGGGCCTATCTCCTGCCCCTGGTCTATAGTCTCTCTCCCTCAGTTCCAAACCCAGGCCATACTGAAAACCAGTTTTTCCAGTAAATTTGAGCAACTCATTTGATGGCAAAATCTGACCTGAACTAATGAGAGGCCGTTCGTGGTCTTGATTGCTCCCACGTGATGTGACTGGAGGTTTGGGAGTGTGGTGACCAGGGGCCACTCAGACCTGCTGGGGTGTCACATAGCAGCGTGGGCACTGGGTCGGCTTTGTGAAACCCGGAGACTGCCCGTTCCCGCGCACACGCAGCCCCGGCTTCCGGGGATCCCACGCTGTGCCATCATGTCATCGACCCCAGCAGACCCCGGCGTCATTGCCCGTGAGCGGCCCAGCTGCAGTGCCACCTCCTGAAAACATCTTTTGTTTTGAGAGTGTGATAGGAAGTAACAGAGAGGTCCCTTCTCCCAGGCCCCCAGTGACAGCCACATAAACATCACAGCCGGGAGGCTGGCACTGAGCCGACCCAGGCACCACTTTTTAAGGAAAAACGCAGCCTTAAGTTCTGGCCTAACTGGCCTCGCCTCCTGAAGAGGCCGCCCCGTCCCTCTGGTCTGAATCACTGGCCTTCCTCCCAGGTGCCTCCCAGGGACCCCTCCCCCCAGGGAGCGAGGAATAGCGGCATCGCAACCCCTGGCACCAGCCCTGGCTCGGTGCTAGGCCCTGTGACGGGCCTGATGTTAATTCTCACGCCTCCCTCCGCAGCGCTGCTGGCACCCTCCCCACCTTCTAGAAGCTGAGGGAGACCTGAGGTGGGGCTGCCTGCCGGGAAGGCCTGACCCTAGAAAGGGCGCTCATGACGACTGCCCCCGGGGAGGGCGTGCAGGGCGCTGTGGGGCAGGTGGCATTGGTCAGGGGGTGGACATGTGGTAGAAGTCAGGAGCCTATACCGGAAGGGAACGGAATCCTGGCTTCTTGGGTCGGTCACACCTCCCTGGGCCTCAGTTTCCCCATCCATCGAATGGGATTGCGATACCACCACAAAGAGCTACTCTGGGGATAAAATGAGCAAGTCGATGGCTTAAAACGGTGTCAGGCACCTAAAACGGGTCAGAAAATGAGCCGTGTTTTTGCTTCTGCTTCTGTTACTGCTCCTCTCCCATTGTCGGGGTTTGTCCCCATTCTCCACCCCAGGCTGGGCCACCGTCCAGGGGCTGGTGGGAGCTCAGAGGGGTGCCTGACCCCGCCTGAGGGACGGGGAAGGGGAGACCTGAGGAGGAGGAGCTGGAGAGGATGTAGAGGTGGGAGGGAATGCTGTGTTCTGGGCCGGGCCGCCTATACGGGACCCGGGTGAGAGGAGATGGTGGGTGTGGGGCTCGGAGGGCGCTGGCCGGGCAGTGCCAGGCAAACAAAGCGGTTCTCATGAGCCAGGCCAGGTGTGGTTTGGACTTTATCCCGGTGTGGACTCACACGTCTCCCTGCCGGGAAGGACTCCAGGGGATGGCTGGTTCGCACCGCACCCAGAGCCCAGGTGGAGCTGCCTGGCAGGGTGCCCGAGCCTGAGCCTGTCCAGACAAGGAGGAAGCCACCGCCAGCCGCAGCCAGCTTTCCGCCTCCCGCCTGGGCTGCACAGCCATGCCCAGTGTGGATGAGCTGACCCCCGGGTGAGTGAGTGAGCCTCTGCACAGGCGTCTGGTCACTCTGCCAGGCCTTCCAGGGGGCATCACCGCCCTCTCTGCCCCTCCTCACCCCGCACAGGAGGTGTGGGGCCACTAATAACAGTGACAGTAACACATACTCTGAGGCTCAGAGTGGGGGAGTCACTTGCCCAAGGTCACACAGCAAATGGCAGAGCAGGGATCAGAATCCAGCCCTCCAAGCTTCTGAGTTTGGAGGATGCAAGATTGGAGGAAGCCGGTGGAGAGAAAGGAGGGGACGGGCCCGTTACTGAGAACTTACGTGCCCCAAAGCCCCTTTCACATGTGAGCTGTTTAACGGCACCGCAGCCTGGGGAAGGGGCCACGAGGAGCCGCCGACGTTGACGCAGGGCTGACTGGCCTGGCGCAGCGGCACACGCTGCACGGCGTTCGTTCATTCAGTCCTCACAGCCCCCCTCGCAGGCAGGTGCTCCCACCACTTCTTCTCAGAGAGGACCCTGAGCCAGAGGCACACTTGCTTGTCCGAGATTGCTCCTCTGATGATGGGTGGAGCTGGGATTGGAACCCAGATAACCTGGTCTGAGGCCCACTTCCCTTCAGAAGAGGAAACTGAGGGAGCTCACTTGTCCTGCATCTCCCAGCAGCCCCGGTCCAGCCGGGAACGGATGCCACTCCGTGCTGGCCGTGCATGTGTCCTTCCTCCTGCCCAGTGGTCTTGGCAGGTGGAACCTGTCACCGCCTTCGTTCTGTAGATGAAGAAACAGATTCAGCCGAAACCGGGTTGGCTCAATGGATAGAGCGTCGGCTTGGGGACTGAAGGGTCCCGGGTTCGATTCCGGTCAAGGGCATGAACCTTGGTTGTGGGCATATCCCCAGTAGGAGGTGTGCAAGAGGCAGCTGATCGATGACTCTCTCTCATCAATGTTTCTAACTCTCTATCTCTCTCCCTTCCTCTCTGTACAAAATCAATAAAATATATTTAAAAAAAAAAAAAAAAAGAAAAAAAGAAAGAAAGAAACTGAGGTTCAGGGGATCAGGGTCACCCAGTGGTCATTGGCCCTTCCGTGAGTCTGGGCCATAATCATGACGTTAGACCCAGCACCTCCTTTCCTCTCAGTCCCACCTGATTCTGACGGTAATGATGGCAGCAGAGTGTGCCTCCGCTGCACTGCTTCTGACAGGAACCAGAAGCTGAACATGTGCTCCTCGCATGGGGCAGTTTTATTTTAATGCTAGAGCTAAGATTTACTAAGATCTTAGTGTGGGTTCCTGTGTTTGCCCCTCACAGCAGCCCTGTGGTCTGGTTTGGGGGTGCAGAAACCTAGACCCGGAGGTGAGGTGTCCAGGGCTGCCCCACCAGTGCGTGACGGCCCAAAGCCAGGCAGACCAGGGGCAGCTGTGGCGTCCACACCTCCTGACTGCTGTCTGCCCCCTCCTCGGTCTGAGCCTTCCTCCCTCCCTTCCTCTCCCATCCTTCTTCCCTTCTTTCCTCCCTCCTAACCTCCCTCCCTCTCCCTTATTTCCCTCCCCTCCCCCTGCCTGCCCAGGTGGTCAAGGTGAAGCCCAACGACAAAGACGCCAAGATGAAATACCAGGAGTGCAACAAGATCGTGAAGCAGAAGGCCTTCGAGCGGGCCATCGCGGGCGACGAGCACAAGCGCTCCGTTGTGGACTCGCTGGACATCGAGAGCATGAGTGAGTCGGGCCCGGGGTTCCAGCCATACCCAGTCCAGAACATTCCACATCCTCGGTGGCCTCGCCATTCCCTGTGCACTCTGTGGGGTGGGGAGCTGGGGCTCGGGGTGGCCTCCGGTCCCTGCCCCAGGCTGCTGTCTGTTGCTCCCCTGCCTGCCTTCCTGGGAATCCAGAGTCCCCAGGAAGATGTGGGAGATGTGGGAGCCTCCTGCCCCTGCACCCCTCCCAGGCCTCCGGGATCTGATTGGTCTCCAGGTCTCCTGGCACTCAAATAATTCACTCATTCTGCCACAGCTCATTGCTGGGCACGGCTCTGTGCCAGACCCTGTTCTAGGCACTGCCCTCGTGGAGCTGGTGTCCTAGTGGGGAGAGATGATTAACTAGTCAACAAACGGACTAACAGCGTTAAGTGCTATAAAATCAAACAGGCAGAGGAGAGAGAGGACAGCAGGCAGGGAGTCGGGGGAGGGCCTCTGGCTGACCCCAAAGGGAGGAGCAGGCCGCGAGGCGATCCGCTGGGGAGTGGAATCCCTCACTCCTTCCCCTCTTCACCTGAGCGCCCAGAGCTGGTCTGCCCCGGGCCTGGGAGCCAGCCCCCTTCCCCCAGTGACTGTGGCCACTGACCCATTCCTTCCTTCCCACATTAGCTATCGAGGACGAGTACAGCGGGCCCAAGCTCGAGGACGGCAAGGTGACGATCACCTTCATGAAGGAGCTCATGCAGTGGTACAAGGACCAGAAGAAGCTGCACCGGAAGTGCGCCTACCAGGTACCGCGTCTGTCAGGCGCGCACAGGCCGTGGCCCGGGCGGCGTCCCGTGCTGGCTGCTGAGGCGGCCACACAGAGAAGGAGGCAGCAGGAGCTTAGCACTTGCTGAGCTGGAGGTGTGCTGGGCATTGCGAGTCCTCTATTTCTGATTTTTGTTGTTTTTTATTTTTAGCATTTCCATTCAATTCTTTTTAATAGTTGCCATCTCTCTGCCCCTTATGTCCATGCATGTTGTCTCCCTTTTCCACTAGACCCTTTAATACATTGACCAGAGTTATTTTAAAGTCTCTTATCTGATAATTCCACCATCTGGGTCATCTCTGGGTCTGCTTCTGCTGTCTGTTCTCCACACGCCAGCTTTTTATTGTATGCCAGACATTCTGTGTAGACGAGACCGAGATCAGACGTCTCAGCAGCGAGCAGCAGGACCTCCTTCTGCCAGGCAGCTGGGGTGAGGGCTGTCCGTCTCACCTGCGGTCGGCAGCTGTGGTTGGACTGAGTTCTCCACCGGCTTTACCTGGTTCGGTCTCCCCTCAGCAGGGTCCGGGATGCCAGCAGCGACGTCTTCATGCTAGAAAGTCTCCAGCTTTGGAGCTCTGAGCGCGCTGTGGGTTGCTGGGGGGTTCTCCATTTCTAGCCTCGCCCCCCACTTTTGTGCCTCCGGAAGCCTATCTCCCTTCCCTCCCCCATGCTGCCCTGCACCTCGCCTCCTTGGCAGCCAGGGATGGAGCTGGTGGGGAGGGCAGAGGTGTTGAGGGGACGGGGCTCTTGGCTGTCACACCAGCCCACGCCGGGCATGGACTCCAGCTCCCTCCCCCGGCCGAGGCGGACGGCCCTCCTGGAGGAACCAGGTGAACACGGGTCTTCTATCCCGGGGAAGGGCCTGGCACTGTCTACAGCTGGATAGATTTAGGTTTCTTTGCATCCTCTGCTCTTGGATGTGTGTGTGTGTTTTGTTTTTTAATTTTGCTGGGATTTTGGCTTGTTTTTATTATTAGAGTGAGTCTTTTATAATTTTTCTAGAGGCCTGGTGCACAGGATCTGTGCACTGGTGGGGTGCATGGCCTGCGGGGATCCAGCCCACTTTGGCAGCACCGCACATCCCGGTCAGCCAGCCAAGCAGCTGTGGACCTGCCCTCTGAGCACTCGCCTCTCTGGGCAACTCAGTTGTGGCTGGGCCCAGGGACAATAGCTCAGAGAGGTGGCAGCTACGAACCCGCCTCCCAACCCGCCTCCCAGCCTCCGGGGTCAGCTCTGTAAGCCTGGTGGTGGTGCTGCATGACCTGTGGGCATCTGGAGGAGGCGCCAGGGAGCGAGGAGGAGGAGCCTGGGAAGGAGGCAACTATCGCAGTGGTAGTTCAGTGACCACTAGGGGGAAGCTCCTGCATTGATCATCTGCTGGTGGTCAGTGTGCAGCACAGCAACTGGTCATTCTGGTCGCTCCACCATTCAGTCACTGGGCTTTTATTTTTAATTTATTTTGTTTATTTTTTTTTTTATTAAATTATTATCTGTTTACATATCTTACCATTCCCCCCTCCCAATACATACCCTCCCTTCCCAGAGTTTTGTGTCCATTGGTTGTACTTATATGCATGTATACAAGTCCTTTGGTCGATCTCTTATCTCCCCCAGGTCACTGGGCTTTTATTATATAGGATATGTTCTGACCAGAATGGACATCTACTTTTTAAATCTATATATATATTTTTTTATTGATTTCAGAGAGGAAGGGAGAGGGAGAGAGAGATAGAAACATCAATGATGAGAGGGAATCACTGATTGGCTGCCTCCTACACGCCCTCTAATGGAGATCAAGCCCGCAACTTGGGCATATGTCCTTGATCAGAATTGAACCTGGAACCCTTCAGTCTGCAGGCCAATGCTCTATCCACTGAGCCAAACCGTCTAGGGCTCATTCATGTGTTGCATCATGCTGATTATTTTAAGAGAAACCAAGACACTCAATTTTCATATGAAATAACTTTGATGTTGGAATCCCATAGAGGCCACTGGGGTCACAGTTTGGGGGATACTTCTGGCCCCAGCAAGCACCCATTTGTCCGGGCCTCCCCCTGCCCGTTCCTCTCCACTCCCTACCTCTCCCTCGCCCTCAGCCCAGCAGGTTGGATCTAATGAGTCCAGGCCCTCGGGGGGCCGGGGGGCGGGCAGGCCCTCCGCAGTCCCACTCACAGCCTCCCTGCCTTCCAGATCCTGGTACAGGTCAAAGAGGTCCTTTCCAAGCTGAGCACGCTCGTGGAGACCACGCTGAAAGAGGTGCGCGCTGGGGGCGGTGTGGGTGGCCGGGGGAGCTCCCTGGCTGGGGGGGCCACGGAGCTCAGAAACTCACAGGCCCCCCCTGGCTTGGTCTGCCTTCCCTCTCCCTCCACCCCGTGTCTGTCCGTCCCCCTGGATGTCCCTCTTCTCCTGGCCTCTCGGTCTCTGTCCCCCCCTCTTCATGTCTGTGTCCTCTGCCTGTGTCTTTGCATGGTTCTTCTCGGTCTGCCATGACCTCTTGCCTCTCCCCTCCCCTCGGCCCCCTCCCCACATCTCTCTCTGGGCCCCTCCCTCTCCGGTGGCCTCTTTTCTTCCAGACAGAGAAGATTACAGTGTGCGGAGACACCCATGGCCAGTTCTATGACCTCCTCAACATATTTGAACTCAACGGTTTACCCTCCGACACCAACCCCTATGTATCCTTCTCAGAAGAGCAAGCCCCTCTCCCCAGCCTGGATCTGGGAGAGGAGCCCCCCGCTGAGAAGCCTGAGCGCTCATCGGCACCGGGATGGGTGGACACAGCCAACCAGTCCCACACGCTGTGTGACCAGGGCAGGTGGCACGGTCTCTCTGGTCACCTGCCCCAGCTTTTCTTTATCTTGAAGCTAGAGGTCCGGTGCACAAAATTCGTGCAAGACGCTCAGCCCTCGCAGTCCCAGCTTCGTCCGGCTGTCCGGTCTAATTAGCATTTTACGCTTTTATTATTATCAATTACAGATAGGGCTGCTACAAGATCATATACAGCATCTGGCACTGCCCACACTGGTTTTGCTACTTGGCAGCTGTGGGACCACAGCAGCTAACTTCACCCGTGGGTGCCTCAGCTTCCTCGTTGCAAAATGAGGATGATAACAATAGGGCTGCCTCCATGGGTTACTAAGGAGTCGAGGAGTTACTATACGTGAAGTGCTAAGGGCCCACAGTCAGGGCTCTCTAAGTATTTACATGTCCTTCATGCTAACTGCCTGGTAAACGGCCACTGTTCGGTCCAGCAGCCTGAGCAGTGTCGGGTGGGAGGGTCCGTGTCCCATTCCCCGGGGATTTGAGCCTGTATTTGGGGGAGAGCTGAACAGGCTGAGCACCTCGTGTCTGCCCCTCCCCCGTCCATCTCCCTGAGAAACAGGTGAGGTGGGGACCTCAGTACATCCTGCTAAGGCTCAGGGAGGCCAGACTGCTGCACCAGAGCCACAGCGAGGAGAGACAGAAGCCAGACCCCCAGGCCCCGCTGGGGAGGTGCTGCCAGGAGCCGTGGGTGCGGAGAGGCTAGGGGAGGAGCGCCCCCTCCCCCCCGTTTTCCTTAGCAGGACAGATATTTAATGGCGACTTTGTGGACCGAGGCTCCTTCTCCGTAGAAGTGATCCTCACCCTTTTTGGCTTTAAGCTCCTGTACCCAGACCACTTCCACCTGCTCCGAGGTGAGCCGGGGCAGCAGGAGCCGCGCTTGGCGGGCGCTGGCGGGGCCTGGCTTCTCTGTGAGCCTCCAGCTGAGTGAGTGTGTGTGTGTGTGTGTGTGTGTGTGTGTGTGTGTGTGTGTTCGTGGAGGGCTGCCCTGTCCGGTGTGTGTGTGTGTGTGTGTTCGTGGAGGGCTGCCCTGTCCGGTGTGTGTGTGTGTGTTCGTGTTCGTGGAGGGTGCCATGTCCGGTCGGGCAGGTGTGCACTGCACATGGCTCTACACATGAGCTCGGTGGGCCTTGAGGAGGAGTTGGGTCCCGGGAGGGCTTGTAGCAGAGGAGGGTCAGGGCCGACCTGGGTGTTAACAGGGCCCCTTGGGCCTCTGTGTGGTGAGCAGACCAAGGGTGGGAGCAAGATGTGGCGCTGGCCCCGGGGGTCGGGAGCAGTGGTTTTGGCTGGAGTGGCTGGAGCGCCTGGAGGCCTGTGGCTGCCCCCGACAGACAGGGAAGACAGCCAGAAAGAGCAGCCACCAGCCCCTCCCCTGGCAATTCCTGCGGCCCAGGCTTCGTAACCACCTGCCCCTGAGTGCTCAGCCGCTGCCCCTGCAGAAAGAGGCCAGGGCAGTGCCTGCCCCTCCCAGTGTCTGCGGGCGCGGAGCTGAGGCGGGAGCGGCGTTGGCGTGGAGCCTCCCTGGGCCCCCGGCCGGAGTCTGAGGCTCCTGGGCGGCGGCAGAGGCTGAGGTGTCTCCGTCCTGCTGTTGGCCAGGCAACCACGAGACGGACAACATGAACCAGATCTACGGCTTCGAGGGCGAGGTGAAGGCCAAGTACACGGCGCAGATGTACGAGCTCTTCAGCGAGGTGTTCGAGTGGCTCCCGCTGGCCCAGTGCATCAACGGCAAAGTGCTGGTGAGCGCGAGGCCGCGCCCGTGCCCACGGCCCTGCCACCGCCTCCCACGGGCCCGCGGCAGACGTGCTGGCGGAGGAGCCGGGGGGAAGTGGGCAGGGGTCCGTCTGGCGCCTCCCCTCACCGCTGTCCCCACCCAAACCCTAGATCATGCACGGGGGCTTGTTCAGTGAGGACGGCGTCACCCTGGACGACATCAGGAAGATCGAGCGGAATCGGCAGCCCCCAGATTCAGGTGACGGGGCCGGGCCGGGTGACAGCCCCCTTCCCGGGGCCTCGGGGTGTCCAGGCCTGGGCTCAGATTGCGAGGACAGCGAGCCTCAGCTTCCTCACGTGCAGCCTGGGTCAGCGGGCTCCCTCCCCTGCTGGCCAGGGAGCCTTTGTGTCCGGGGCCCGGGCACACTCAGTCACCGGTTTATTCATGAGTCGGCTCCTGGCCTCTGGGGTGGTGCAGGGGCTTCCGTTCAAGTGACTGGGACAGACAGCTGAGGATTCGCATGTGAGCGCACACGCACACACACACACACACAGGAAGTGTCACGGAGGGCGCAGGCTGTGCCTCGGGGTGGGCGGGAGCTGGTCTGTGAGCATCGCCCAGGCGGCCCCGCCAGTCCCTGACGTCCCCTCTGCCTCCCCTTCAGGTCCCATGTGCGACCTGCTCTGGTCGGACCCGCAGCCACAGGTCAGTGTGCCAGGGCCGGGGGTGGGGGGTGGGGGGTGGGCAGGGGCCTGGCAGGGGCCTGCACACTGATCCCCCCCGTGTCCCCAGAACGGGCGCTCGGTCAGTAAGCGGGGCGTGAGCTGCCAGTTCGGGCCCGACGTCACCAAGGCCTTCCTGGAGGAGAACCACCTCGACTACATCATCCGCAGCCACGAGGTCAAGGCCGAGGGCTACGAGGTGGCGCACGGCGGCCGCTGCGTCACCGTGTTCTCCGCCCCCAACTACTGGTGCGTCCTCACCCCGCTCCGGGCCTCTCCCCGCCCCCGGCTTTTCCTTTTACGATAGAAGATCCTAACGATGTACGGAGTAGATGGAATAGTATGGTGACGCCCACATACCCATCCCCAGGCTCAACAGCACCAGCTCTGACACCGCCCCGCCCCGCCCACCGCGGTGCTTTTAAAGCAAAGCCCGGGCATCTCCCGCCCAGGGTTTCTGAGGGCACTTCTCTGGGCATCACCGACGTGCCACTGCCAGGCCTTGACCAAAGGTCACCGACCCCAGCCAGAGTCCATTCCCGGCCTCAGATAGCCCCTCCGGTGATTTCTGCCAAGCAGGACCCAAGTGGGGCCACCTCTCCTGTCTCCTTACCTTTGCATTCCCTGTCCCATGTCATTTTGTGGTTGAAAATCAGGCCCCCTGTCCTGCCAAATTGCCTGTGTTTGGGACCAGGCTAATTCTGATCTCGGGGCCGTCTGCCACCTGTCTCTGTCCCTGTGTCTGCGGGGCTGAGAGCCGGGCCTGGTCAGGTCAGAACCTAGGACTCGGCAGGAGCCCTGCCTCCTTGCTCCCCGCCCCTCATGTCTCACCCTCACTCCCCCTCCTCCCTGGAGCCCCCTCTTCTTTCTTCTGGATTCTAATCTTTCCCACACCTGTCTGTCCTCTGTGACCTTGACTCTGCATCTGCCTCGGTGTCTGTTCCTCATCTCCCGTTTTTCTCTCGGCCTTTCTGCCATTCAGCCACCCGGCTTCTCTCTCTGTCCCCCCGCCTCTCGCTCCCTCTTTCCTGCTGCCCGGCCCTTCTCTATCCCTCAGCCCCACCCAGCCTGACGGGCCACTCTGCCCTGTCCCCACAGCGACCAGATGGGGAACAAAGCCTCCTACATCCACCTCCGGGGCTCCGACCTGCGGCCCCAGTTCCACCAGTTCACGGCAGTGGTGAGTCCCCCCCCCCCCCCCGCCCCGCCCCGCCCCGCCCCGCTCCGCCTGGGCAGGAAGTGGCTGAAGGGCCGGGGAGGGGGAGGCTGCGTAACAACTGGGGGGGACGGGTGGGTGCCCACACCGGGTGCTCAGACAAGGCCCTAACGCTGCCCATCTCTGTGTCTCTGTCCCCGTGTGTCTGGCTCGCAGCCTCACCCGGACGTCAAGCCCATGGCCTACGCCAGCACGCTGCTGCAGCTGGGGATGATGTGAGGCCGCAGCGGCCCGGCCGCATCGGACCCCCTTTACTTTGTAAAGTTTGTATTTATTCCCTTCAGGTTTGCAGAGGGGTGGGGGCCTGCAGAGTCCGCTCCCTGGACACGGAGGAGGAGGTGGAGAGAGGCTGGGCTGGGGCGCTGTCCCGGGCATTTGGGAGGGAGGCCAGCTGTGGTGGGGGCGGGGCCAAAGGCTTCCCCGCCCCCTCGTTTGCATGGCCCCTCCCCTGCTAAAGCAATAGGGCCCCGCCATCAGAAGACCCTTGAAGGAGGGTCATCAGGGAGGCCTCGCCTGCACCCCCTCCTGGCAGCCCCAGGGAGGGGCTAGGCTGGGGGCTTCCCCGGCTATTTTATGTCTGTAATTAAATATGTTAAAATAAAGTCATTATTGTAAGTCAGCTTGTCTCGGATGGTAAAGCCACCAGAGCTAAAATCAGGGTGACCACCTGCCTCGCAGGGAATACGGCGGGCGGGGGGGGGGGGGGGGCGGGGGGGGGGCGGTGCGGGCGCCACGAGAGTCCCAGCCCCTCCTCCATTTCCCTGGCGCTGTCCAGCGGGCTCGGAGCTGACAGCCCCGTGTCCGCCTGTCCTGGGCTCCGGAGGGGGCGTGGCGCTGCCTGGGACGGAGAGCCCCCGCCAGCAACATTGTCCACACAGTTAGGCGGCGTGAAGGGTGGGCCAGCAAGGCCGGGTCTGGGGAGCTGGAGGACACTGGCTCTGCGGGTGCCAGCCAGTGCTTCCTGAGGCTGCCTGGTGCCACCCTGCCCGGGCCTCCCGCAGCCCCGCCCCCGGCCTCTCCAGGTCCAGGGCAGACCCTTTCACAGGGGGCCCAGCTTTGGTTCTGACAGCACACAGCGAGGCAGACCCCACCACCGAGGAAGACCAAAGGGCTTCCACCGCTCCCTCCCGCCCCCATCGGAAGTTATGCTCAGTCCCCTGCAGGCTGTCCGCCTGGCCTGGGCCTCTGCATTGACTCCTGGTTTCTGGTCTGAGCTCTCCAGGACCCTCCTTCTCCCTGGAGACGGAGCCCCGAGGACACCGGATGGAGAGGAATCTGCTGAGGGCTTCGTCCTCCTTGGCTGCCTCCCCGGGGGCAGGGATAAGGGGTCACAGTCCTAATCCTCTTGGCGGTTCGGCGGCTCTGCAGGCAGGCTCACTCGGTAAAACAGGGCAGCATTGCGGGAACGTGGACGCGGGTGTGAGTGTCCTGAGAGGCGTGGGTCCCAGTTGGCCAGTCCCCTTCATTCCCCATGAGGCTGCTCCGAGTCCTTCCAGCCGCGGAGGGCGTGCAGCTGTGGGGCCGGCAGGGTCCCCGGGTGCTGGGTGTCACCGCTGCGGCATCCCAGGAGTGCCCAGGCCGCCTCGCACTCAGTCCTCTGTGTCCGCCGGCTCCCTTCCTCACCAGGGCTTCCTCAGGATCTGCACTGTCTCTGTCACCAGCCACAGCGACACTGTGTCTATACATCTACATCCGTGTCTGCACAGCCCGCTCCGGCCTGTATGCAGCTGCAGCCACCTTACAGCTGTGTCCTTGTGTGTGCAGTGCAGCCACGTCAGGATCTAGATTCAGGTCTATGCCCACGTTTGTGTCAGGAACAAATCCGCACAAACTGGATGCTTGAAACAACATGTATTTGGGCTTCATCCTGGGGCCGGGGGTCTCCCCAGGGCCCGAGGGGAGCACGCCTGCTGCTTCCAGTTTCTCGGGGATCTTGGCTCCAGATGCTCCTTCAGCTGTACATGGCTACCTGGCCTCTGTCTGCTCTTCTGTCTCGCAATGACAAGTGTCATTTGAATCTCCAGGGTGACCTCATTTGAGATCCAGGGTGACCTCACCTAATTATATTTCAAAGATCTTTTTCCAAGTGAGGCCACAATTGCAGGTTCCAGGGATTGGGTTAGAACGTGGATATATCTGAGGGCTGGTGGGGGTCACCATTCAACCCACTGTAATATGTAAATCTGTCCACATCAGTCCCCTTATCTATATCCCATTTAGATAGACGTATCTATCTTTATCTACAAATATTGTTGTCTGTATCTGTGGACTAGGTTATAAATAAACAACAGATAGCCTTGGGAGACATCTTTCTGATCAAAGAATCCTTGCTGATTTTATTTTTTTTATTTTTTATTTTTTTTAAATACATTTTATTGGTTTTATACAGAGAGGAAGGGAGAGAGAGAGAGAGTTAGAAACATCGATGAGAGAGTCATCGATCAGCTGCCTCCTGCACACCCCCCACTGGGGATGTGCCCGCAACCAAGGTACATGCCCTTGACCGGAATTGAACCCGGGACCCTTCAGTCCTCAAGCCGATGCTCTATCCGTTGAGCCAAACCGGTCCCGGCAATCCTTGCTGATTTTAATGTTTTGTGATTTACATTTATCCAAATTCAATGAATATGTATTACTTTTATAACAAAAAAAAATAGGAATCTATAGCTATATTGAGAATATAGGAAAACTTTAATTATCCTCTCATTGCAAGCCTCCTCCTCTCCTGCCTATTTCGGGGGGAGGGGGGCTGCCCATCCTCTCTGTCACCCAGAGGGTGGTCCCAGCCTTGTCCTGCCCCCCCTCCCCTCCCCTATAGCTCTCCGGGCGGCTGCCCTCGCATCTTCCCCTTGTTTGCCCCGGCGGGGTCAGCCTCTCACCTGGCTGAGGGTTCTTTCCAGATTGAGGGCTGATGGTGCTCCTTTCCTGTTCTAGGCAAACCCATCCCTCAGTGTCCTCAGGACAAAGCCCTAGCGAAGACCCTGGCACAGTCTGCCCTTACCCTGCCATGAGGCCTTCACCCCAATTAAAGCTGAACTCAAGAATTGGGGTCTTCTATACTATACGTTACTTTTAGGCTTCAGAAAACTGCTCTGCGGGTAAGGACGCATTTGGGTATAAATATTGAATATGGGAGAGGGGAATATGTGGAATCCATAAAATTAAAAATGCAACCAAACTGAACATTAAAAATAGTACTTTAGCCGAGACCGGTTTGGCTCAATGGATAGAGCGTCGGCTTGGGGACTGAAGGGTCCCGGGTTCGATTCCGGTCAAGGGCATGTACCTTGGTTGCGGGCATATCCCCAGTAGGGGGTGTGCAAGAGGCAGCTGATCAATGATTCTCATCGATGTTTCTAACTCTATCTCTCTCCCTTCTTTGTACAAAATCAATAAAAATATATTAAAAAATAAATAAATAAATAAAAATAGTACTTTAGCTATGGCCAGTGTGCTCAATGGTTAGAGCATTGGCCTGCGCACTGGAGGGTCACAGGTTCGATTTCTGCTCAAGGGCAGGTGCCTGGGTTGTAGGTTCATCCCAGCGCCCCTGTTGGGGCACATTCAGGAGGCAACCAATCTCTGTGTCTCAGGTCAATAGTTCTCTCTGAAGAATCACTGGGGAAAGTGTCTCGCTCCTTGGTGAGGATAACAGGTTAAATAAATAGCCTGTGGGAGCTGGAGGATGAATGAGTGAGGGCAGAAATTTGGAGGTAACAATAGTGGCCCAACACCACTGATCTGAAGTACGTGTAAAACGTCAAATGAGTATTTGGAGATTCAAGTAAAAAACATCTCTGACTTGGTCAGACTTGACCCAGCTCTTGGGAGTGATTGCTCTCCCTCGCTGGCCACAGCTCGGTGAGCCCGCCAGATCCCGGTGAGCCCCGCCAGGCCCCGGCAGGCACTACGCTCCGGCAGCTCGGGCCCCAGTCACTGGCACTGCTGTAGAGGCGTGCACTCCACAACACACTGTCAGCCTGAAGAGATTTCAGGCCTGTGAATGAATAACAGGTCAGCATCTAAGACAGAAGAATCTGCCCTGTAGCACACAGATCACGGGGTTGGTGTCTGGCTGGAGGCCCCCTTCCCACGCACTCCCATCCGCACCAAGCAGGCCAGCACTGGGCACCACCATCTCTTTGGGGAACTTGGCAAAGAACAGAGGAAAGAGGGTGAAGGCACAGAGGCTGGGACCGGAAGCTTCTCTGCAGCTTACACTTGTGATTTGGGAAAATTAAGCCACCTCTCCGAGCCTTCCTTCCCTCGTCCACCTTGGCTAGGTTTTGTCTAGCTGCTGATGTAGAAATGGGGTGTATGGGGCACTGAGAAATGCCGTGTACCTGATACGCAGTAGGGCTGAGTTGGCAGTTGATATTGTTATTCCTTTCTCCATGCCCCGAGATGGCACGTGCCTTGAATTAAATATTGTGTCAGAGCGCCCCCTGGTGGTCACAGGAAGCCATAACTCGGGCAAAAGAAAGAAGGACCCAAAGTTTAAATGGACAATTATTTCACTTCTTTGTTCAACAAACTTCCTTGAGCCCTAGCTGGTTTGGCTCAGTGGATAGAGCATCTCAGCCTGCAGACGGAAGGGTCCCAGGTTCGATTCTGGTCAAGGGCACATGCCTGGGTTGCCGGCTTGTGCAAGAGGCAGCCAATCAATGATTCTCATCATTGATGTTTCTCTCTTTCCCTCTCCCTTCCTCTCTGAAATCAGTAAAGATATAAAATCAATAAAGATATGTTTTTTAAAAACTTCATTGAGCCCCTTCGTGCTGGGTGGGGTTGGGGACCCACTGAAGACATGTCAGTTCTGTACCTGCCACCCCGGGCTCACAGTTCAGTGGGGGACAGAGTGACGGCCCAGAGGAGGCACCTGACCCCGTCCAGGCACTCAGAGGTCAGGCCAGACCTTTCCAGCCTCCTGGGCCCTGGGAGACGCTGGGCCTTGTCTCGAGGTCACTGGGAGCCATGAGGTCCTGAGCGGAGGAGGCAATGTCAGGGTGAAGTTTGGTGGGAATGGTGGGACCGGGGAAGAGAGGCCAGGAAGGAGACACTAGGACAGGGGGGAGGGGGGGGACCTGAGACGGGGGAGGCATCAGGGTGAAGCCCCCGGCTTCCCAGAGAGGGAGGATGGAGCTGCCTCCAGCCTGATGCCACACCCCGCTGCTGCCCAGAGGTGGGTGACAGGGGTGGGTTTTGGGGGCGGGGGCGGG